CATGTACACATGCATACACAGTGCGTGCGTACACACTTGTATGTGTGTGTGTGTGTGTGTGTGTGTGTGTGTGTGTGTGTGTGTGTGTGTGTGTGTGTGTGTGTGTGTGTGTGTGTGTGTGTGTAATGCACGTGTACGTGCGTTCAAAGAGACTAAGTCTTTTTCTTCTTCTTTTTTGAAAATAAGAGCTTTACGGCACTTGGAGCACAATTAGGTCGTACAAGTGCCGAAGATTAGATGTGTTACAAGAGAGTAACAAGCACAAACATGAAGGAGAAGAGAAGAGGATAAGGGATGTTTTATAGGAAAAAGGGATCAAACGACTGAAGAGCACCCACCAAACCACCCCAGTAGAGTAAGTCTATGAACCAACAGACGGACAGACGTACTTATAAGACACAGGCAACCACGGGGCTATCATTGCCCTCCTCCTGCAGTGATAGTCCACGTCCCAGGGCATCCCATTAGCCGTCAATCTGTTCAGGACCCAGGCTCCTCGACGGGTGCTCAGGTACACCTGAAGTAAGGTAATGTAAGTTAAGGTAAGGTCAGGTAAGGTAAGGTAATGTAATGTAAGGTAAGGTAAGGTAAGGTTAGGTAATGTAAGGTAAGTTAAGGTAAGGTAGTTTACTGTAAGGTAAGGTAATGTACTGTACTGTAAGGTAAGGTAAGGTAAGGTAAGGTAATGTAGTGTAAGGAGAGGTAAGGTAAGGTAAGGGCATCCCGTTAGCCGTCAGTCTGTTCAGGACCTAGGCTCCACGACGGGTGCTCAGGTACACCTAAGGTAAGGTAATGTAAGGCATGGTAAGGTAAGGTAAGGTAAGGTAAGGTAAGGTAAGGTAAAGTAAGGTAAGGTAAGGTAAGGTAAGGTAAGGTAAGGTAAGGTAAGGGTAATGTCAGGTAAGGTAGGGTAAGGTAAGGTAAGGTGAGGTAACATAAGGTACGGTAGGGTAAGGTAAGGTAAGGTACGGTAGGGTAAGGTAAGGTAAGGTAAGGTAAGGTAAGGTACGGTAATGTCAGGTAAGGTAAGGTAAGGTAAGGAAAGTTCAGGTAAGGTAATATAATGTAAGATAAGGTAAGATAACGTAAGGTAAGGTAAGGTAAAGGGAGGTGAGTTAAGGTGAGCAGAGGAGAGGTCAGGTAAGATAAGATCAGTGGCGGTGGGTAGTGAAGGGCTCACGGGCTTGAGCCCCCCTCCCCACCCCCCAAGTCTATCCCAAGGAAAATGAAAATAACGAAATAAGCAGTTGAAACTGTTCTGATCGACCGCAATGAACACAGAGTTTTAAACTAGGCGGCTTGCTCGTTATCCAATCACTGTTGTCCCCGCTTACAACTATAGTAACCTAACAGCCAATCAAATGTT